AGCTGAATTTTCAGCATCATTACTCCATTCTTCAGTGTCACATGATCTTCAGAAATCATTCTAATATGCTGATTTGCTGCTCAAGAAACATTTCTGATTATTATCAATGTTGAAAATAGTTTTTGCTGCACAATATTTTTGTGGAAACTGTGATACATTTTATTTTTCAGGATTCACAGATGAATAGAAAGTTCAAAAGAACAGCATTTATTTGAAATAGAAATATTTTGTAACATTATAAATGTCTTTAATGTCACTTTTCATCAATTTAATGCAGCCTTGCTGAATGAGACCATTCATTTCTTACCAAATAAAAACTCTTACTGACCCCAAACAACAATTAAATGTTTGAATATTTAATAAAAATAAAAATGAATCAAATGAATGAATATGACAAAATACTAACTAAATTTAAAGGACATTTTCAACAAAGGATAAAACAAATTTTTCTAAATATCTTCTTCATACACAAAAAAGCCCTTTCAAAGGTACTAATATGAACACGTTATGTACTAATACGTACCATTTAGGTGTAAATATGGTACAAAGTTGTACCTTTTAGCTTTTGCACTTTAGGGTACTGGCCAGGAACAGCTTTGTACTTTGAGATTGTACAGGTTTGTAATGACATGAGGAGAGTAAATGATGACAGAATGATCTTTTTGGGTGAACTCTTGCTTTAACTCTGTGCGTTCGGTTCTCAATCTACACCGGGACTCACTCTTTTTCTCTCCGGTCATTACACGACGCACGCATGGCACACAAGACCGCTCTTTCCACTCCAGCCAATCTGCTGGCCCATAAAAGGGCTGCTTTTTGTGGAGAAGCCCAGATGACAAGAGACATATACATCCCCATATCTCAACATCCCACAGTTTCCGCTCCTGTCACTATCTATTACATGCAATTGAGTCGTGGATGCGCCGAGCAAGAAGATCTGTACAAATCGCCCAGAAATACGGTTGCTACATCCATACGGTGCTAAGCATTCATCAGCATCCATGCCAGCATCTCCTCGCTCCACACGCGCCAATCAGCGCCGCCTGCCAAAGCTGAGCTCAGATTTACTGTCGCGGTGCTTCCTGACAGATATTCCTGGGGTTTAAAGTCTCCGCTCGAGTGTTAAGAGTGCAGCTGGCACGCTCGAGCTCCTGTGCAAACCTGTAGACAGATCCAACTCTATCGCAGATGATACATAACGTCCCTCCGAGGCCCGTGTTGCATGTGGAAGCCAGGTGAGAGACTTGCGTTTGGGGGCCGTCCATGAAAGATCAATGGGAAATAAGCTGAATAAATGAGCCAGATGGCTCGTGTTTAAGCAGAACTGATGGGTGAGGTTTTCTTGGAGCGGCTTTACGGCAAAAATATAAATCTGGCAACCAAACACATTAACTTTGTGTCTTACTTGGACAATCTGTGTTTCCTGTGGCCTCAAACAGATGCCTGTTTTTCCTGGTGGAAATCCTTTGGTAATATAACCTCCAAAGCGCTTTATTAAAAGCAATATCCTTGAATGATATTTTAAAATTTAAGTCAACAGGCAACAGAGACCGCAACTCATTTTACTGCCATAATGTCACGTCTTGTGAAACAGTTTATGCAATAAAAATAAAAACCGTGGGCAAATTGACTGGATCGACGGGACCAGAATTTGGTCGGAGCTAATGGAAAGTCTGCATTGCCAATAGCCTTAAGATTAACCAAAAGCCCAAGAAGTGTAAATCTAGTGAACAAAATTACTGACAAAACTTTTAGTTGATGAAAAGTTCTTTGATTTTTATCAAAGATAACGAAGATTAGATGGAAAATGTGCATCATGACGATGCTTCATAATCATATGAAAAAAAATGGAAGTAGGAAAAAAAACAAAAAAATGGATTTTTTTTTTAAATAATCCAATTAAACTGGCAATAAATAACAAAAAAATTTTATAAAAAAAACATGTTTTAACTAAAAAGAACTTTTGAACTGTAGTGTCTACAAAAAATTTGAATATTTTATTAAAATAAAAATTGAATAAAATAATTGAATATAAAATATTGACTATATTTAACTTATATTTCCATTTGCTGTTTTTTTTTTTTTTTATGTAAAAATGTTATCCATCTTATCTATCATTTTATCCATTTACTTGCTATTTCTTTGTAACTACGTAAAATTTACCAGCAATTTCTGAGTGAAAACTATTTCAAAGTAAATGTTAAAACACCACTTTTTTTCACCTGCGACACTGCTGAAAAATACAATACAAGCACTGTTCATGCATGATGAGTATAAGGCCGGATTCACACTGCAAGTGCAGGCAGCGTGTGAACAGCGCATATTTTTTTCAGCATGCACGTTAAATGAGTGCATTCACACCGGGAGCAGCGTGAGCGTCAAGCAGGAGTCTATTTTTGCTGCGCTGCTCACGCTCAATTAAAGTGACAGCACACTTTTGATGGACAAAATAAATATGATTTCACACAAAAGTGCTAAAAATGCACAGAATAAGCATGTCTAGTGTGTTTTAACAAGAATTGGGAGTATGTCAGAAAAGAAAATGAAGAATCAAAAATATGTTTAGAAGATTTACCCGTTTAAACATGTTTTTAATTATTCAGTTTGGGTGAAAGTATGGTGCATTATATATATAAAAAAATAAAAAAAACACTATAAACAGCACGTTCTGTATTGAAGTATGACTGAAACGAATCCCCGTGTTAACAAACTTCCAAGACTTTAAATCTTTCAAGTATATAACTGACCAACTTCTAAAAACAAATTTATAGTTGTTTTTGTAAAGAAATATGTACGTGGTAAGTAAAGCTGACTCGCGCGAAGCTCAAGAGGTAAATACTGATTACAGGATAGACTACAGATAGAGAGAGAAAAGCAGAGACACCAACAGCTCTGTAACCAAACATGAGCATCATAACAGGGTCCATCATCGCCTATCATCACCCAACAGCCTGATAGCATGTGCTAAACAACATGCTGGGGATGCACAGATCAGAGAAGAACAATATGTCTCTCATGCACCTATTATTGACATTTAAAGGGCCATTTAAAGTTTGCATGACATGATGAAGGTGACACTCACTCTGGAGATGGTGAGAGGCATGCTGAAGTCCTTGCCACCCTGTAGTCTGAAGCCCCAGGGTGAAGGTCCGATCAAGGACACGCTGTAGTTATTCATGGTGGAGTGGGTCACTGTTGTGGGTACTGCCAAAGTCCAATTCACAGCCTGAAAAATGACAGCAAAGACTTGTTGTTGTTGTTGTTTCAGCAGGACACACAGTAAAGGTCACTGATCATGCAAAAACAAAACATGATCTAATGACGCCTTTGACACCTAAACATGTCATTTTGCAACTTTGGACAAAATCCTTGCCTTGGAAGTGTCAAATAAAGTTAACACCCAATCAAAGAAATAAAATAAAGCAAACAAAGAAAAATATAAATACATGAATGCATGTAAGCAAATAAATAAGCAAACAACAACAACAAAAAAAAAACACAAATATATATTACAAACACACACACACACACACACACACACACGAAAATAAAACGAAATCCAAATATTTGGCTGAAATAGACAGAGCATCTCAGATTGCCCAGTGTGACTGATTGCTCTGGAAAATGCTACAGGTTTTAAATAAATCTAGGGACAAGACTGCTCATAGTCCAAACTTATCTCATAAGTACAGATAAAACAAAAGAGCAATCGCTATTTATATAAACTTAAGGCCGGATTCACACTGCAAGTGCAGGCAGCGTGTGAACAGCGCATATTTTTTTCAGCATGCACGTTAAATGAGTGCATTCACACCGGGAGCAGCGTGAGCGTCAAGCAGGAGTCTATTTTTGCTGCGCTGCTCACGCTCAATTAAAGTGACAGCACACTTTTGATGGACAAAATAAATATGATTTCACACAAAAGTGCTAAAAATGCACAGAATAAGCATGTCTAGTGTGTTTTAACAAGAATTGGGAGTATGTCAGAAAAGAAAATGAAGAATCAAAAATATGTTTAGAAGATTTACCCGTTTAAACATGTTTTTAATTATTCAGTTTGGGTGAAAGTATGGTGCATTATATATATAAAAAAATAAAAAAAACACTATAAACAGCACGTTCTGTATTGAAGTATGACTGAAACGAATCCCCGTGTTAACAAACTTCCAAGACTTTAAATCTTTCAAGTATATAACTGACCAACTTCTAAAAACAAATTTATAGTTGTTTTTGTAAAGAAATATGTACGTGGTAAGTAAAGCTGACTCGCGCGAAGCTCAAGAGGTAAATACTGATTACAGGATAGACTACAGATAGAGAGAGAAAAGCAGAGACACCAACAGCTCTGTAACCAAACATGAGCATCATAACAGGGTCCATCATCGCCTATCATCACCCAACAGCCTGATAGCATGTGCTAAACAACATGCTGGGGATGCATAGATCAGAGAAGAACAATATGTCTCTCATGCACCTATTATTGACATTTAAAGGGCCATTCAAAGTTTGCATGACATGATGAAGGTGACACTCACTCTGGAGATGGTGAGAGGCATGCTGAAGTCCTTGCCACCCTGTAGTCTGAAGCCCCAGGGTGAAGGTCCGATCAAGGACACGCTGTAGTTATTCATGGTGGAGTGGGTCACTGTTGTGGGTACTGCCAAAGTCCAATTCACAGCCTGAAAAATGACAGCAAAGACTTGTTGTTGTTGTTGTTTCAGCAGGACACACAGTAAAGGTCACTGATCATGCAAAAACAAAACATGATCTAATGACGCCTTTGACACCTAAACATGTCATTTTGCAACTTTGGACAAAATCCTTGCCTTGGAAGTGTCAAATAAAGTTAACACCCAATCAAAGAAATAAAATAAAGCAAACAAAGAAAAATATAAATACATGAATGCATGTAAGCAAATAAATAAGCAAACAACAACAACAACAAAAAAACACAAATATATATTACAAACACACACACACACACACACATGAAAATAAAACGAAATCCAATTATTTGGCTGAAATAGACAGAGCATCTCAGATTGACCAGTGTGACTGATTGATCTGGAAAATGCTACAGGTTTTAAATAAATCTAGGGACAAGACTGCTCATAGTCCAAACTTATCTCATAAGTACAGATAAAACAAAAGAGCAATCGCTATTTATATAAACTTGACGGGACGAGGGAATCTTGGCGCGCACGGGCAAGTATTTTAAGAGCTTACGGGTGAGCGTGCAGTTGTTGGTGAGGTAAAACCCTGGTAAAATCCAGCACAGGCCAAATAGAAACATTCCAGAGGAACGGATTAGACTCTGGGGGGTCTCGCTCAGGAATGTCCCGCAGCCACAACACTGACGAAGTTAAGAGCAATGTTATTCACCTGCTCAGACATCACTATGTGTCAGTAACGGAGGAGATCTAAACTGCAAAATATTCCTGCTTTATTTCAACTGACCAGTTTCTTTCCACACCCTCAAACATGCATTCATATTCGTCAAATGCTGTGACAGAGCTCTCTCTTCCACGTTTATTGATGTTTATTTATATATCACACTGTGGATTTTCCATTTTCTGTTATAAATTGGACAAATGGAAAGATGAGGGCCAGTGAAAGTCAATGAACTATGTGGATGACAACATGCACCATATAACCTCAACATTAACATTAGCAACCATCTATTTAATAACTGATTACCAGAATTGCATGGAACGAGAACATGAACGTCACCGGTGACTCAAACATGCGTTGTGTGCCTCATGTTGTGTCTGTGACTATTGAATGAATAAGTGAAGCTGATGCAACGTTCTTTTGACAGCAGTTCCTCTGGAAGCACTAAGGGTGCGGTTATCGAGAACAACATGTATTGAGAACTTCCCGAATAGAGTGAATCAAGAGTTTTTCCATGCCTGAAGCCATCAGGGCTGTTTGTGCTTGTCACACTGGCTTTCTAACGGGTACATTTACTCATCTTTTCAGATCTACATTAACAATAGTGTTGTGATTCAGACAGAGTCAGAATAAGATGATAGGCGGAGCTTCTTCAAACTCTCTTTAAAGTCCCCATGAAATCAAAATTAAAGTTTTTTGGGTGTTAGTATCAATATGTTAGTCTTAAGTAGGGCTGGACGATATGGCCAAAATTGATATCACGATATATTTCTTAATTTCGGTCGATACGATATAATTCCGATATCGATATGAACACTATTTATCTGAAACAGAAATCTTTTGTAACATTATAAATGCCTTTATCATCACTTTTGAT